ATATAATTTAAATATAATTATAATTATAATCATAATTATAAAAATTATAATTATAATTACAAACATAATTATAATAGGTATACTTATTATTACACGTATTACACTAGTTATAAATATAGCTATAATTATAATTGTAATTATATTTATAGTTATATTTATTTCTATAATTATGATTTTAATTATAATTATAATATTTATTTCTATAATTTTAATTGTAATTACTCCGTATAATATGATAATAACAAAAACAAAACTAATAACAATAACAACAACAACCATATTAGTAGTAAGAATAATAATAATCATGATAATAATAAATATCATAATAATAATAATCATAGTAATCATAGTAATAATAATAATAATAATAATAATAATAATAATAATAATAATAATAATAATAATAATAATAATAATAATAATAATAATAATAATAATAATATCAATAATAATATCAATAATAATATTAATAATAATAATAATAATAACAACAACAACAACAACAACAATAACAATAATAATAACAATAACAACAACAACAACAATAATAATAATAATAATAATATCAATAATAATATTAATTATAATAATTACAATAACAACAACAAGAATAATAATAATAATAATAATAATAATAATAATAATAATAATAATAATAATAATAATAATAATAATAATAATTATTATTATTATTATTATTATTATTATTATAAAAATGATAAATCATGTCTGAACTTTTCTGATCTGATCTGAATGTTCCGGATCTGATCTGAATGTTCCTGATCTGATCTGAATGTTCCTGATCTGATCTGAATGTTTCTGATCTGATCTGAATCTTTCTGATCTGATCTGAATGATTCTGATCTGATCTGAATCTTTCTGATCTGATCTGAGCTGAATTTTTCTGATCTGATCTGATCTGATCTGAATAAAATAAGAATAAGCAATAAGCAATAAGATTAAGACGAACAGAACAGCTTCTTAATCTTGATAGCCATAAATTCCAAGTCTTCAAGACTTTCGATTTGTTTTCTATGTCAATTGCACTATATTTACAAGTTTTTATTGTGCTTAGAGTTAATTATACTACAATGTTTAAATTACCTTTGTCTCCAACTAAATATCCCATTCAGCTATGTACTGAGATTTGAAAACTAATATTCTATAGTTTGTCTTCTCTTGGCTGGTTTCCCTCTGAGATGGACTACAACAAAAATAGATGCTAGTAAATGCAAATACATGACATAATTTTTTTACTAGAGCACATTTGATTGGATCGAACTTAAAATGGTCAAATCAAATCAAACTCAAACGGACCAAAACTAAAAAAGTTCACTCCAATATAATGTATTTGGATGAGAAAGATATGACATAAGTTACACAATTTTGTCCTTAAAAAATGTGATTGTGTTTCTAGGGCTATTATAGTATCTATTCGTCAATTGGATGTCCTTGACTAGATAAAAGTGAAAGAATATGGTTGATTTGGGGTTGGGAATCCATAAAAATAATATTAGGGTATGTGCGTATATGAAAAATAAATTAAGAGCTTACTCTTTTTTAAAATGAAAAAATGAAAAATTAAACTAAAAGGTTAAATAAGATAAGCCATTACAGAAATGGAATCCACCGAGATTATATATCCTTATAATTATTTTAGAGAAAAAGGCAAATAAGTCGCCAGATTATTTGGATTATTTGTGATTCTACAATCAGACCCCTGAATCAAAAGACATGCGAATATACCTTTAACCTTTCAATATATTGAAAATTGAGCAATCAGATCATTTTTATATGACCGTGCACGTAAGGATATAACTTTCTCGTGAGAAATTACAGCCACCAGCAAGTAAATATGATCTAAATACTTAATTTTCAATTTGTTAACAGTTGTATTTGCAAGTCTTTTCGTTCAACGACGTTATTGCGGAATCGTTAATAATTTGGAAAGTATTTGTCCATTTCTCACTAGTTAATGAAATTGAACATTATGTGAGATAGCACGGCTACACTACACGCGCCCAGCCACCCATGATCTAAAGCTTGTACTTCAAAAATTATTAATTCATTACTATATCGGCACTATTAAATACTCCGTATTGAGGTAACAATCTAAAGTGTGGAAATGGAACTAAAAAAGGCATTAACTTTAAGATCTAAACGTCACAGTTCTCTGGCAATTGTTGAACTACTCCACAGCCGTCTCCAGTAAGTCCATTGCAGTCTTGCAGAGAGGACTTGTGGTACGTGGATGTGACCATATTTCCTAAAAATAAAGGATGACACCCCATCCCTGAGGGCCCCCCAACACTGACCAGACGGCACGATGGGAGGATGTAAATTGGACTATAATCACAATCTGACAGATAGAGAGTGGCGCTCTGTCCCCGGTACTTACAGAGGCCCTATGCAGTGTGACCATATTTCCTTGTTATCATACCTCTAAATAAATTAACTCCCAATAGAAGTCAAAGAAAGGAAAAGCTCAGAATCAGGAACCAACGATGGATATGGTCTGTCCGAAATTGGAAAAGCTCAGTGTGGAACTTTGACCAAGGAGATTAATGTACTCTCTTAGTCGATTTGAGTCTTTGACCAGGGGCAGAAAAATTACGTGACATTAAATTGTGTGACAATGAAATTAATAATGTGAAAATGGAAATTAAAACCCTCCACTTTTCATGGGGTTCTTTGAGCAGTGTCATCTTATAATAATATGAAAATAATTTGAAAATAACCTTGTCTACGTGCATCAATACCTCATTAATTGAATTGAGGTCTTAGGTTCATACATAGTAACGATAGTGTGAAAGTTTCATCCAAAATGACGACTCGTTGTGGATATGAGACCCTAAATCACCACACTCAGATAATGCTTGAGATCATAGTGTCATTCATCCCTCTATAATTCTATTTGGTTAGGTGCGAGGTGCCTCGAGTTGGCGATTCCACCTCTTGAGTTGATGGAAATAATCTCATCTTTCACATCATTTTCATTATGTGGTCAGTGACTAGTTCGCAAGTTATTGTTTCAGATTTTTTCGTTTATAATTCTTTAAACAAAAAATTTTACCTTTCATTGCATCATTTTCATTATGTGGTCACCGACTAGTTCAGAAGTTATTGTTTCATATTTTTTCTTTTATAATTCTTTAAACAAAAAATTCTACCTTTCAAAAGTCCAAATAAATCCACATATTACTTTTCTATGGACAAATATAGCTAAGACCATATTTAAATTAGGACAAAAAATGATAATTTAAAAGGGAATAAATTGAATTACTCCTAATATAATCTAAGGTTTTCTACTTTGGCCGGTCTGGTCTCGCATCTCAACACCTTCAACCCGATCTACTGTCTCAATAGACAATTGGGAGTCGGCATTGTCGTTGCCATGTTGTCACATATCCCTCATCGTCGTTTCTTGTTATGCGTCCCGCCGCCATCGCTGCCTTGCTATCACGCATCTCGTCGTGGGCTCAGATGCTTCTTTTCATAAACGTCAGCCTCTGCTTTCTTCAAAATGTTATTTTCTTCTTATTATTATTCCTTTTCCGTCATGCTATTTTTTCTTCCCTTTTCACACCATCTTCTTTTTATCTAGTCACTGATCGGTTGGAGACTTCTTTCATTATACTCCATATGCTTTTCATCTTATTTCAACTAATCTCTCTCCATCCTATCTTGCTTATTTTCAGAAATAATTCTTAATATATGACAAAAATAACGACAATAGACAAGTTACTTCTTAGTACTTCGTAATTTATAATGACTATGATTGTGTGTTAATTTACACCATAGTGAAAAAAAATAATTTCTTTTATTATGTTATAATAATAGGCAATATTGAATATTTAGCCTATTCATTATTCAATATCTATATCTTTTCAGTTTTTCTTTTAAAAATTGATGAGCACCATGACAAATATCTTCATTTACTATTAATATCAAGTTTAAATGAGAAATTACTCTAAATAAGACTAAAAACGTTTGTATATTCCAAAATAGGACTGTCACGTTTTTACTCCCAAAATAGGACTAATTACTGTCATGTTTTGTCGGTACCAGACTTTAAGCATGACTGTATTTTCCAAACTTGGCAGTAATTACTCCTATTTTGGGAATAAAAATATAGCAATCTTATTTTGAAATTTTCAAACTTATTTACTCTTATTTTGAGAATTTTTCCAATTTTAAATTATTCCGAGTATGGTTTATTGAATACATTGTGAACAAATATAGTGTATTTTCATCTATAATGATGGACCTCATCCTAACATTTCAAACAGAGCCTCTCAAATTCATTAGACGACCATCACAATCTGCTTTGACAGAACTCAGCATTACCATTTCATAACAGGTAATTTAGTCAGCATGTCGCCATTCCATTGAAGCTAATATTTTACATGACCAGTGAGCGCGTGTGGACACATAATTGCTAATATGATTCTTCATTCCCAATGAAGCATGTTCTCATTGACACAAGGCATCATCCTCTATAATCTATACCTCTCGTATTCGGGCTAACTCATTGATACATTTTCATGTACACAATCTCTACACTTATGGCTTATGCTCCAAAATTGGGTTGTCTCCAAAATCTCCATCTCGAGAGGCATGATTTTATTTGTTATCAGCCGGGGGCAGTTACCTAATACAGTTCTAAATTAGGTATGGACTCGGGCCGGGTGGCCCAACCCAGAACCGGCCCGGCACTATTTGGAACCGGCCAAAACCGGTGGCCCAGACAGGGACCGGTCCGGGTAGGCCCGGCCCGGGGGCTTTACGGTGCGGGCTTGGGTTGGGGCTGGGTGTTTGGGGGGGGGGGGGGGTCGGGAGTTAAGTAGAAAAGCCAAAAAAAACTAAGTAGCCTAAGGCCCGGCCCGTACCTGGTGGCAACCCGGGCCGGTTCCGAGCCTTCCCCCATTCCTCAAAAGCCCGACCGGGCCTAGGCCCAGCCCGGGCCATGCATATTCTAAATTTTATTTTGTCACGTAATAGGATTCAATATGAGCATATGTATACTCCTGTAGCTTATAATACTTGTCTCTAAAGAAAATTGTCAACTAACATATGAATGGCTTTGAATAACAAATACAACCAACTATAATATTCTTTTCTGATGTATTAAAAAAACTATAATATTACCTCTATCCCTTTACAAAATTCGAATTAGGTGAAAAAACAGAAAAGTAATAAATTGTATGATTAAAGTTTGTACCGAGGAAACCTATTGAACAGATAATTAGTTAGGAAAATGGCATAGTTTTTTGGATAACAAAAAAAAGTTGACTTAGTCCTATACTCCTATGGTTAAGAGGGAGTATGACACAAAAATTCTGGCAGACCAAAGTAAGAAAGTGGGTACACATGCTCCAACGGTAGATTGCTTATATGACAAAAACTGCTCCAAATTTGATTTCCCTTTTTTTTTATAACACAACTTTTGGACTCCGCCACCATAATCTTGGGGCATATTTGCAACCCCTCAAGTTTAGACCATGGAAAAATAGGGCCTCATCACATCTGATAGAAAATATTACGACCTTCAAGAGATTCACATCACATTCCCCTTCAACAATCTCTTTCCGTGGTTTGATGACTTCGATAACTTGCTTCCTTGCAGTCTGCTCGCCTCACAATAGCCCTGCCCTTGGAGGGGGCATTGCTCCCCAGTTGTTAAATCCTCTCCTATCACTGGAAATGAAACCACTTCGTTAGTCTAGTACAAAAAGTTGTTTGTACAGTTCAGTGTAAACATTAAACAGGTGCAACCGCTCACTACCGCTAAAACATGCACTACAACTGAAAACAAATTCACCACTACAAAGCATTTTGAATGCTCTAATGGAAACCCAATTAAAATAGGCACAAGGGTGATTGCATCCTTAATGTGGAGGGGGGGGGGGGCAAAGAACAACACCGGATTTCTTCTATAATGCCACATTATCTTCTCTCGGTCCCTAAAAAATTTGCATTGCCAACTTTCCTAATTTAGTTCTTCCAATCCAAAAAGTTATGTCACTTTCCATAACATTTTTTATAGTGTTTATATTCTGTCACTCAGTTTATCAGTCAATAAACTACTTTGGGATCAGAGTAACACTATTTTCAAAAAAGGTTTTTTTTCATGACAGATTTCATTTTATAACAAAAAGCTCATTTTATTGTATATTTTCATGATCATGTGTGTTTCTTCAATTGATAATAAGGGTGCAACCGTGCAAGTATGGGTGAGTCCTTATTCTTTATATTTTTGTGATTTTCTAGGGTTTTCTTAAAGCAATACTACGTAAATACCAAGTCTAAAATGCAAAAAGAAGCTCGGGTTGCCTCTGAAAGCGCTATTTTTAATGTCGATTGCCCAACACAACAACAAAACCCAATTCTCTAACATCTTTCTTGAGATGGTGGTCATTTACTTTAAAACGGCCTTTCTCTGGGTGGTCAATTTCAACAGTACTGTATGGAAAAACTTGGCTCACTACAAAAGGATTAGACTATCTAGGCTTCAACTTTCCTTCGAAAATTTTCAATCGGGGATTAAACGACAGGACTTTACCCCCTCGTGAAACTCCTTAACTTGTTTGATATGTCGGTCATAATAGGCTTTGATGCGCTCTTTATCGAGTTTAGAGTTTTCATAAGCCATAGGCCTCCACTCGTCCACCACATTGAGCTCCTCCTTGACCATTGATTCCTTTCATGTCAGAAAGTTTCCGGGCTAGAGTTTCTCTTTGCTCATCATCATTTTCATTTACCCCAGTGCCGCAAAGGCTCCCACCTATGCAGTCTTACCCCTGTACTAAAGCACAGAGAGACTGTTTCCGGATGACCCATAATGAAAATCACGTCCAAAATTGCATGGACTGACCGTTGCTTCATAACAAAGAAGCGCAGACAGTTTAGAGCTTCCCTTTGCTCACTAAGTAAATTAAGACATGCTGATTTTTGGGATGACTTGGGATAGCTCAAGCCCGATCCAAGAATAACAGGGACTTTAAGATTCTCATCTAGAAAAGCATGCTCAAAATGGAAGAGAAGAGGTTTTGGACGCAATGAAGGTGTGAGAATTGAAGAATCAATTTGAACATTTTCATTCTCCACTTCATCTAAAGCTTCTTCCTCCCATTCACAGATCTAGTATCACCTGAGTCCTCCCCACCACTAATCATATCACAATCAAAACTAAGGAGGAACTCAAGATCCTTTGCAGACAAACTATCATCCAAAAGAAGATTAAAGAAGGCTTCATCAGACAATCTGCACGGTTAGAAGAAAAGAAATACTCTGAGAAACTAAAACTAGTAGCTGAAAATAATTTAACCCTTCAAACTGACACCGTCCCCAGCAACAGCGCCAAAAACTGATGTGTCGTTTTCTCGCACTTAAAAAAATGTAGTAATATAGAGTTCTAGTACGAGTATCGTCTCCACAGAGACGGAAAAGAGAAATCAGGTATTAAATAAATTCAGCGATAAAATAAAATAAAATATATGTGAATGTGCGAGATTGGGTTTTAGGAAAATTAATTGCAAAAATAAAGCTAAATTAAGGTTTCTTCTTAATTAATGACGGAAGGGAGCATAGGTTTATTCCGGGGCAACCAGATTTCAGAGCTAATCAGACTTAATCACATGAAAATGAAAATTTTTAATTGAGCAACGCAGGTCAATAATAAGTTCTTACCACTCTCGCGGCGTAGAGTAGAATAATTTAGAGAAGCATATTGATCTCTCATGCAACAAGTTCCTAAATTATTGCCAAACGAGCGGGCAATTAGTGCGCCCTCTTATTGTTACTAATCTCTTAACAAACGATTTGGTATGTATAAAAGTGCCCTACAATAATTTAGAACTCTCTTAAATTACTCTATATGCAATTATAATCCTAGCTGTTATTCTAGGTCACAATAAAACCCTCAAGAACGAAGTCTAGATCATGATTAATACCCCCTTTCATCAATTCTCAATCCCTAATTAAACTACTCATAATTCATAATTGACAGATCAACAGAATTGATAACGAATGATTAATTAAACCCTCAAGACTCACTATTTTTTGGCTTGGTAATATGATGGAATAAAACAAAACGGCTCTCTAAACTGTCTGCGCTTCTTTGTTATGAAGCAGCAATTAGTTCATGCAATTTTTGACGCGAATTTCAGTATGGGTCATCCGAAAAAGTCTCTGTGTGTTATAATACAGGGGTAAAACTGCGTACATCTACCCCCCCCCCCTTACCCCACTGTAGGTGGGATCCTTTGCCGCACTGGGGTAATGATGATGATGATGAATTAAAAGGATTGAAGTTACAAATAATCTCATAATCTTGATGTTCAATGCCGGAAAAACAAAGAAAATTTCGTTCCTAGGGTTTCTCTCTCTAAGCTCGTAATAAAAAACAAATGAAAAAAAGACTAAATTACTAGAAAACAACAAAACTGGACGAAATAGGGTCGCGTACCGCATTTGACCGACAATGTAGACCTCAGAACGTTTTCAGTAAAATTACTCTGCATGACATGTGGATCTTGTCCGCACGACGTGCGGACCTTCCGGAGATCTTCAATTCATCGCGCACAACGTGTAGGGTTGAGCAAAAACCGACCCGACCCGACAAACCCGATTTTTTCCCAGATAGTATCCGATTGGATATGGATATCCGATCCTACTATCCAAATCCTAAAATTTGGACAGGCTTGGGAGGTTACCGGGTTGCGGGTAGGGTTTATAAAACCCTAACCCGATCTGCCCGAAAATTCAAAATACCAAAACGACGTCTTTTTGGATTTTATATACATACATACTTATAACTCTTCTAATCGGCCTAACCCTATCCGTCTCTTTCTTCGATCTGTCTTCTACTCTTCGCTCTATCTTCTCTCTTCTGTCTTCACTCTTCACTTGTTCAGACTTCAGATCTTACTCTCCTCTCTCGTACTTTGATTTCCTTCTTCAATTACACTTGATTGCTTGAGAGTTGAGACTTGAGAGTTGAGAATCCTATAGTCTTATTTGGTATTTTGGTGGAAGCTCTCACACCTAAAAGACACGCGGTCACACTGAAACCCTAATCGTCTAATCGGTGGAAATCGTTCTCCGATCGTTCGAAACTCAATCTGGTGAAAGTTCTTAACCTAACTCCCTAAGTCTTAAGTCCTAAGTCCTAATTGTAGTCTATCATATCACCTCTGAGGTATTTATGTCTACGGTTTTGTTGTGAATTTGTTATGTGTTACAGTGTTAATGTAAGGTTTAATTGGTTCGTATTAATGATGTAAATATGTAATTCAGTCATTCTAATGTGGGTTTGTGGGAGCAAATGACCTAGATGATGATTGTATTTGAATGTTTGATAAATTGATAGTATGATGATGTAATGTAATGCATGCTTAATACCCTTATACATTTGACGAGTGATTATGAATCTATGATGATGTTGATGTGTTGATGCCTATGTAGCACGGAAACTCTCGGGAAAGAGTACGTTTCCCGTTTCGGAAACTCTCGAAAACTCTTTGGAAACTCTCCATTTCTCCAAATAAGCGTTTTTTGAACAAAAGTTGACGTTTCCCGTTTCCCGTTTCCCGTTTCCTCATGATTTCCGCGTTTCCGTGCAACACAGGTTGATGCTTAATAATATGTTGTTGTCTCTAAGTTGTGGTGAAATATGAATCCTTGCTCCTCACTGACTAAGTATCGTATATATGAATTCTGAGTACTAAACTGTGCATATTTGAAATGTGAACTCTGAGTATTGAAAATGTGTCAAAGTTGTATGCTTAATGTTTGAATAATGATGGAGCCTGAGGTTTTTTCTGAATGCTTAAAGTCGTATGCCTAATGTATGATTATGCATTTGTGAATGATGATGGACTAAGGCTTGTCCTAAATTCTTAAAGTTGTATGCCTAATGTTTGATTATGCATATGTGAATGATGATGATTGATGGAGCCTCAGGCTTGTTCTGAATTCTTAAAACCGTTTGCCTAATGTATGATTATGCATATGTGAGTGATGATGAATGACGGAGCTAGAGAGTTGTTCTGAATTCTTAAAGTTGTATGCCTAATGTATGATTATGCATATGTGAATGATGATGGACTGAGGCTTGTCCCAAGTCCGAGACTGAACTAATTTCTGCCTAACTCCCTTATTCCCTCCTTCCGACTCTTATATAGTAATTATTATATTCCAACGGGCTAGCCCATATTTTATTACATGGCCCAATTTTTTTATACAATACCACACTTACTTAATATCAATCTATTACTACTATTATTATTCTCTACAACCCAGGGCCCTATCACCCCCCTTACCCCACCATGGGTGGGAGCCCTTTGCAGGACTAGGGTAATGATGATGATGACATATATTCTTTTAATTGGGTCAAACTTATCCTAGAAATCTAGGATAAGTTATTATTGAATCTTAAACTTTTAAATCTGTTTATTGTAAAATTGGGTCAAATTTATCCCAGCAATCTGGTCCAACCCAATTTACACTTTGTCACTCTTCATACTCATTGTATGACTTAATAAGATGCATTGAATCATCAAGTCATCAACTTCATAATTAATACCCATGTGTAATTGTCTCTTAAATGTTTTAGATTTTCACAGCAAAAAAAAATGTTTTGAATTTTTATGGAACAAGTATGCAATATATGTCCTAAATTTACAAGATTATTTGAGTTATTAATCAGAGTATTAACTATTTTTTTCTATGAGTGACTTGTGTTTTCTCAACGATACCGGGTGGAGCGGGAATTCCCTAAGAAGAAGATTAGACCAAGTAGGAACGACTAATGAACATAGGTCATAGGGGTACTTGGAGTAGTACAAATCGGGCTTCTTGTGAGACTACAAGGATGCTTGTGAGAAACATTTGGTACTCATTTCACCTATTACAAAGCTTACACTCACAATGTGAAGCTGGTAAGAGATGAGTAGTACAAGGTGATTTTTATAAGAGCTAAAGAGGAATTGACTGAGGAAGCTTTACCTGGCATAGTATGATAGTAGTACAAGACTCCAGTACAAAAGCAACAGAAACGTGATGCTACTAAACTGAGAATATGTGATTGTTACTAGGGATGGAGAATTGCCTATATGAGGTAATTGGTTAATAATAATTTAATTATGACGTAACTTATTGATAATATTATAATAATTAATATTGTGAAGAAGGAATTAACTCAATCATCATTCCACCTATATGAACCGTAGAGGCGTAGACTAGCAAAACTTAATGGGCAGAGGGAGTATTATTTTGTATTAAAAAGGGTTGAATAGAATGAGTCAAACGTAATTTTTCATGTAACAGTGGAAGCATTATTAACCTAACTGAGAATATAGCATTGAGCCAGGGACGTATCACAAAGCTGCCAAAAGAGGCTTACAGTTGTGTCTCAAATAACCTAACTGAGAATATAGCATTAGAAATGTTTTAGTGAGTAATCTATCAAATAAACTTCTTTGATACTTTAGTTGTGTCTCAGTTCCCGTTAGATAATTTAAAATGACATTTGTAAACTCACTTTGGGGTGTGGCAGGCATAATTTGCTCGTAGTATGTTTTATAAGCAAAATCAAATGATATGTTCCTTGCATTTTACATTTATCGTGTAGTCATCTTTACTCTTTGAAAATGTCACCACCACCATCACCTAAATCTCATGTAATTAGGGATGGTGGGAAGATATATTAATAATGTCAATCAGGGCCGGTCCTGACCATTTCTGGGCTTATGGGCGGTACGCTATTCTGGGCCTATCACCGTATACTTATTTGAAATAAGAATTATAATAAAAATGTCTAATGAAGTTCATAAAATAAAGTCAAAAATCACTTTATTATTATTATTATTATTATTATTATTATTATTATTTAAGTTACAGATTTGGGCAAAAGTAACACAAGTACCGGATAAAAAGAAAAAACATCGGTAAAAAACATTTCTCGTAGAACAATATGAAGCAAATAATCAATAATAGCTTCATAGACGACCTTCTTTCTATTAATACATGACAAACAATAAAATTGCCACATATAACAACACTAAACTTTTTTTTGAAAGGAAATATGAAACAAATGTCACTACATATAGAATTCATGAGAATGATTTATTGACTGTTGATGGGAGTCTAAAGTTTAAAGTCTCAAAAGAATGAAAGGTTTCAAAGAGACAAAATGTATGGCCGCCAAGAACACTCTCGCAAGAAGACTGCCAATTTGACATCCTCTAAACTACTATTAGGAACTCAGATATAGTTTATTGAAATTTGGAAACAAATAAATAATTGGGATGAGATTTGAGAGAGATGGGCTCTAAAATAATTATATAAATTTGTTATGTTATAATTAAATGAATAAAAAGCCTTAAAGGCTAAAGAGATGTAAAGACTACAACAGATCCTACTTAAAATTAATGTATATATTCTTTTTTTGATGGAGCAACAATTGTATTGCTTTTAAAAACTATAACTGATCCTACTTAATATTAATGTACATATTCTTTTTTTAAACTTGACTCTGTTTAAAAATTTTTATTTACATTTTAAATTTTCAAATTGCCAATAAAATTAAACATTAGGCCTAATTAACTGACCTTAAGAATTAAAAAAAGAAGCCTACTAACACTATACATAAAGAAAAAAAATTGGGCCTATTTTTTCTTCTATTTTTTGCCGGGCCTAGGGCGGTCGCCCCTCTTGCCCTCCCCCCAGAACCGGCCCTGATGTCAATTAATTGTACACAAGAAGTTAACAGTGTCAGTTCATGTGGAAATACAAAATTAGTAAACAAGTTATGGAATTCTGGCCATTGTTCTATCAGATAAGAGAAATAAAATGTGAAAAGGAAGAAATAATGCAACAATAAACTAACTGAAGTGACTTGTTTTATCAACTGACGTGGTTATTATTAAGAGAACATGAGAGAGAGAAACATTACTTATGTGCACCCTAGCTGATATTAGGATATACCATTAAATCATTAATAACAACGGCCAGCTCATATTCACTCATTACATCAGTTTTTATCTATTACAGAGTATTTTTAGTTAGTGCTAAGTAATGGTAGCCTAACAAATGTTTTGTAAAAGGAGAAATCTGCATGACTGAACATTGTTCATACTTTTTGTAATTTGGAAACACATTTTCTTTCTATCGCTAAACAAAGTATGGAGCACTTAGTAATCAATAGTATTCTGGCATATTACTACTATTACAATTTCTTGAGGTTAGTCTTATTCTATTGAATTGGCTGCAACATTGTGTAAATCGATCATATTCACATCAAGCATAACAATTCAAGCATTATTATAACTCCAAATATAAAATCAAGAAAAATTATCAGACTTCAAAATAGCATATGAGAGACAAGACTTACAACAACTGTCAGTTGTCCACCAGCTGCAACTTCATATCTAAAACCCTCTCACGGAATTCTCCATCACTGACCTTCAACATTTCCACCAATGAGAGTGAGAATCCGTACTTCAGTAAAAGCCTATGGCGTGGCTTTATTTTACGCTCCAAACTAAACGAAAAGAATTGAGGAAAGACCTTCAGCTCCTCCAAATCTCCATTCATTTCCTTCAGAAAGTAATCAACTTTCGGCATATAATTCTTATCTATACTAAGAGTTAACAGTCCAGGACACCTAAGAACCATATTCACAACCTCAATGTAAGTGAACCCTAATCCCATCAAGTATTCAATTTTAGGTTTCAGAGTGAGCTCAACGCTGGAAACAAGCAACACGGAGTTCTGGGAGGTGATCTTATATGGACCCGCGAACCCGAACTCCTCCAAGAACTGCAATGTGGGTCTCAATCGGGTCTCCAAACTGGAAACCAAGAGCCTAGGGCAACGCACGATAGACAGGCTGATATCGGGGAAGGGGATGCTGACATCATTCAGGAGAAAATCGAAGATAGGGTATATGTCGGCGTAAGGGTCTGAGGTGAGGAGACTGGGGTGCATGTCGAGAATGCGGCCTAGGGCGGAACGCTGGATACCCATTGAGCAGAGGCAATTTTCTACTGATTTTAGGGAAGCTAGAGGGGCAGATCGTAAATCTGGGTTCTGATTGAGGGCCTTCAATGGATTTACTCTTAGTTCTCGGAGGTAGAGAATCTTTTGCTGGAATTTGATGCCGGAGTTAGTGCTGGGTGCGGCGGCGAGGCGAACGGGTGCCGGATTGGCTTCAAGGGGCTTAGATGAAGCTCTTGGAGTCAAAGAAGAATGCCAAGCTAGAGTCTTTGGCAGGGTTTGTAACTGGATAAGCATGTTTTTGAACCGCACTGGAAAGACGGCGATGGCGCCGTAGAGGCAAGCGGGCAATGGAGGGACTAGGATTTTCCGATTTTATATGGTCGGCACGCGGCAAAAATCTACTTCGAGGAATGGTAAAATTTCTTGTGGATCCACATGAATCTGGACGGAGGAAATAGTTGCAAAAAATTGTACTGAGTATGAAAGTTGCTTGAGGAAGCAATTTAGGGGTGTTTGGAACTGATTCTGATTCTGCTTCTGCTTTCTTTTTTAAAGCAGAAACAGAATCAGAATCTATTTTTTTAGAAGTTGGGAATACTCAGCTTCTGAAAAAGTGGGAGTAAAAAAATGCACTAGAATCACTCCAAACACTCCAGCTTCTGTTTCTGCTCGCTCGGGAAGCAGAAGCAGTTTTAAGAATCAGATCCAAACACCCCCTTAGTGATTTGAGTTAAGTTTAACCACGAGAAAATAGCAAGTAGGTGAGTGAATTTGGGTTAAATACTTCATGTGAATGTAACTGAGAAAAAACTTAAACACGATTAAAAGAATATGATAATCGAGAAAAACGTTTTAAGACAATAAATGATTGTCTCAAAGACGAACATTGTTGATTGCTACTTTAGAGCGAGGCAGGAGGCAAGGGGAGGGTGGGGTAAATCAATCGGGATCCTACGCGGTAGGGCTGCACATCGGGCGGGTTGGGTCGGGTTTGCTATATTTTTTGGGCCTACCCAATTTATTCGGGTTGGCTATTTACCAACCTGCGGTATAAAATATAAGTTGGTAAACTATGCATGAACGGGTAGGGTAGGGTCGGGTATTGAAAGGAATTAATTTCGGGTTGAAACTTTAATATGAGCAACTAATGCATGCAATATGAATCTCGATTAACTAGTTTCCAAAATACACAAACAAATACAAGTACTTTTTATAAAAGTAAACTTAGAGCAATAGTATCAAAACATTCTTGCGTAAAGGAAATTAATTTAGAAGTGTGTGTGTGTGTGTGTGTGTGTGTGTGTGTGTGTGTGAGGGTACGGTGTGTGTGTGTGTGTGTGTGTGTGTGTGTGTGAGGGTACGGGTGTGTGTGCGTAGGCCTGTCAATGGGTCGGGTCTAGACCCGGACCCGACCCGGACCCGGTTGTTTTTAACGGGTATGGGTCCTTATTTTATTCCGTTTACCCGGACCCGAACCCGGACCCGTTAGTACTTTTAATAAACGGGTCGGGTATGGTACTTATGATTCCGACCCGTTAAGGACCCGGACCCGTTTAAAATTTCTTATTAGTATTTATACACACACTAATACATAAAGAGATTAGTTATAATACTTCAAATAAAAATACAAACTAGTATATATAAAGTGATTAGTTTTAATTCTTTGATTAAAAAGAAACAAATTAATACATATCTAATGTATAAGTGATAATATAATAGTACGTAGTATATAATATGCTTTTAGTCCAAAAGAATTTTTTGTGACCTAATTTCTAATCTAATATACGAGCTTTCTGTGAGAGAGAAAGAGACACAAAGTGCGGAATTGTACGCATCTACAAGAACCGATATTTTATTGAATAAAAGTACTAATTTTCTATGATAAACCTTGATTTTTTTTTGAAAAGTGAAGATATATTTTGCTTTTAAATTTGTGCACTTTGATTTACATTTCATATACATGTTTTACTATTTTTAAAAAATTATATAATGTTCTGTCAAAAAAAAGTTATATAATGTTGTGCATATGATACTTGGCGGGTCTACCCGACCCGGTTCCGAGACCCGTTGGGTCCGGGTCCGGGTCCAAATTTTTAGACCCGCCGGGTAAACGGGTCGGGTCCGGGTCCTTTATTTACTTAGCGGGTCCGGGTCTGGAACACTACGTTCCGACCCGGACCCGACCCATTGACAGGTCTATGTGTGCGGGTGCGGGGGGGGGGGGGTGCGGGTGGGTGCGTGCGTGCATTAATCACCTAGTCAAAATGGTAAATGTTTATAATGCTAAAATCATAGTCTTAGATAGAGCACATCAGTCTTAAATATAAATTATCCAACTAAACTTTGTAGCATAATAATAACAAATTGAACTTTCGGTCGGGTCGGGAACTACCGGGTTTGAGATTTTTACTTCCACAACCCTACCCATTAGGTGTGGGTTTGTACATATTTAACCCGTGAATATTTTTAAAAATCAAATACCCGATTAAAAGTGATCGGGTAGGGTTGGGTCGGGCGGGTTATGCGGGTTGGGGTTATTCTTGTGCAGCCCTACTACGCGGTGGTGTAGAGATATGCAACGAGGAGGCTTGATGGAAGAGACATGCGGTGAACGTCAGAACTCGAACAGTCTGTGGAAGTGTAGTGGCACAAGGCAAAAGAGAAACTTTAACTTGTGGAATACTGACGACCCAAAATAGCATAGGGTGGAAGGGGTATACATTTATACACACCTTTAGAGCCGGTGAGACAAAAAAAAACGAATTTGGAGAGGAATATATAGATTGGAATATCCTCACTAGTCTCTAGTAGGGGTGGACTCGGGCCGGTTCAGGCCCGGTTCGGGCCAGGCCGGGCCTCGTTCTGTTTTGTTGGGCCCGATCCCGAACCGGTAGCCACCGGTTCCGGGCCTGGCCGGGCCACCCAGTTTGTAATTCTTTTTTTTTTTTGGCTTCTCCTATTTAACCCCCAAACCACCCCAAACCACCTCAAATGACCCAAAATACCCAGCCCAACCCAAGAACTTAAAAAAAAAAATCAAAAAATAAAAATAAATTCGGCCCGAACCGGCCGGGCCGGTTCACCAAATGGAGGGCCCGAGCCCGGAACCGAACCCCACCGGGCCGGGTCGACCCGAACCGCCCCTGGGCCGGGCCACCGGTTCGGTCCGGTTCAAACAGTGACCGGGCCGGGCCGGTTCCGTGTCGGGCCGCCCGACCCGAGTCCACCCCTAGTCTCTAGGTTTGGACACTCAGTAATGTCTTTCCAATTGCCCTTCCCATCTGATTTTGGGAAGGCGAAACGAGGGAACTAGCTACTAGGGATGTTTTCTTTTGGACTGAAATTTGCTGGTCTGGTCTGGTCTGGTCTATTTAAGTCTGGTCTGGTCTGAACTAGTCTGGTAGACGTCTGGTCTCTGTGTATTTTATAACTATCCAAGTCTAGTCTGGTCTGTTTAAGTCTTGTCTATTTAAGTTTGGTCTGGTCTGATCTGGGACTGAAAACATCCTAGGTACGGAACCATTGCTAAACATTTCTAATTTGATCTCCAATAGCTTGATTAACTTAATACCTGTCTTTTTTCATAAAACAAAGTGTTTACCCCAACTTGCGATAATCCCTTTCACTATTTTCACCATTAATTTATCACAAGTGATACAATAAAATCAAACTTGATAATTTTCATTATTCAGATCCATGGGTTAAAAAAGATTCTTGAGGAGGTATGGGATTATGGGAATTGGGAAAGAAAAGGAAGAATGCCAAAACCGACTGGTTTCGCAGTGATTAAATCAAAGAAAGCAATGTTCATACACATACCAAAATACAAATTACACGAGATTACACGATATTGACTACATGTTTTCATTTGTAATATCTTACAACAATTCCCCATAATTAGAATACAAACTTATCAGGACTAAGGTGGTGATAACAACATCAAATCCAAACCCCATTTTCTCCTACACAGTCATTTTCAACTCATTCAATAAGTGCCCTAAATATATAATAAATCAAACCAGTCGGCACTAGCACATAATCATCTTACTTCAGTTGAAGATCAAGTGGTTGCATGATCCATCGACTCCACAAACCATTGCGAAGAACACGGGCTATCGGTTTTCCTAAACTTTCCTGGAAACTCTTTACCTAAATTGGCCTTCAAGGACAGGCTCTTTCTAATGCGGTTACGGTTAAGCGACAGAATGGTATTGCGGGAACCTTCAACACAGTCGCCAGCAAGAGCACACCCCCACGGTTTAGATGGCCCGGAGAGCTTTAAGAAGCCTGTACGTTGACCCGGTGAGCTTCCTTCTTCAAGCCTTGCACAAACCGGGCATGGAGGGTCACTCTTACGGGCCTTAGGTGTCGTTTGATCCAAACATTCGGCATGGAAAACATGACGGCACGAGAGGACCCCGGCGACAGGCATGTCGCTAGTTCGGACAATTCGCTTGGAACTCCAAGGAGACCTCTGTGAGAGAAACCTATCACACAAACCACATTTGATGGGACTGTCAGATACGTTAAGAGACCTACTAGTTAACCCGTCGGTTTCGGCAGGCGGGTCGGTAGCCTCCTCCCAGTGGTCAACACTGCAACTGGCACTGCTGAATCGGTGCTTTTCTCTGAGTGGAGTGGATGAACGAAATGGAGAAAAACCAAACACTCCTCTTTTAGGTGTTCCCGACGGGATTGAGAGTGGGTGGACTGGGTTGGACATGAAGTAGCGACGACTTGGAAAGTTACGATGAGAAGAATGTGATTTGGTCATGGATTCACTGTCACTACTGTCGGATCGGGAAGAAATTGAGACTCTCCCATCCCTAGCAATCGAGGTTACCTGTAATAAATTTGTTGGTATTTCATATTTGTACCCCAAAAGGATAATTATAACAACAAGAAAGGTAACTCATTAACTGAGGACTACTGAGTGCAGAAGTGTACCTCCATTGTTGGTGAAAATGGTAAAGCCCTCAAAACTGCACAATAGAAACAGAAAATGTAAAATAAAAAATAGCGCCACTTGAGACTTCAACAGATAACATGAACCATTACCAAATACACTTGGTATCTGGTTCATGTTATCAAAAAATTAGCGCCACTTAAATGTAGAAATAAAAAACTTTAATGAACATGATATCAATATCAGTTGCACTTGCATATTCACTAAAACTAAATGCTCATCTGAAAATTGGAAACGGATCATGAGAACGTTTTCACAAAAATAAACACTTATCTCAGAACAAATGATGAGCAAGTTTAAATCACAGTTTTAATAAAATGAGTGGAGAAAATGACTGTGTTAAAGGATTATAAGTATTTCAAAATAAGATACTAATGCAGACTCTGACACTCACACCTTGAGTAATCACAACTAAAATTGACACTGGACAAGTATTAATCCCACTCTAGGGTAGGTATACATGTTTTG